AGCAAGAAAATTAACATTTAAAAGAAGTGTTCGATATATCGTTTTTATCGATCTTTTTCTCTGAAAATATCGTGAGTATCGATATTACGGAATATCGATTCTTTTGCAGCACTAGTCATAACCCATTGTAAAGAGCTTGGTGAAAATAATACGTACACTCAACTTCTTCAGTCTGAAAAAAAGTTTAGAATACGAAATGTTTCTTTTATTGTTATAAAATAGTAAATATCCTTCACACAGATTTTAAAAGTTAATAAGTAAGAAAGCTCTAATCGAGACTGATTGACTATGAGATCCCCTGAAATCTTCGAGCAATACGTAGGTATTTCAATCATTTTTCGCGTCTTTCTGGTTACACAAGAAACACACACATATACACGCAAAAACATACATACACACACGCACACACACAGGCACACACATACACAGTGATTATAACAATAAATTGCGAGCATTTGCCATTTGTCATTTGAAATACGCTTTTCACAAATTTAGAGGTGAGTGGGAGGTACATATCTACATTTGAAATTTGGAGACTCTAGCTCTAAAGATGTTTGATATATAATTTTATAACTGATTTTCGATTAGGTTTTTTTTATCGATAAAAAATAACGGGATGAGTTATCGATTTTTGGTGATAAACTCGATATCCGCGCTATACATATATACGGACATTTTATGCCTTCTTCTTATATCTTTTGAGATCGACGTGTTCATTCATTCGGACAGACGGACGGACAGACATATAGACACGGCTAAATCAACTCTGCTCGTCCCCCTGATAAAGAATATATATACTTTGTGGGGTCTCCTACGCCTCCTTCTACGTGTTACATACATTAAAAAAAAAAAAAAACAATTATACCCTGATTTCCTATTTTCAATGAGTTCAGGGTAAAGAAAATGTCAATAAAGTTAAATTTTAAGGGGTGTACCTATTATTTTCATCATGAATACATTTTCAATAGCGGCTTATTATGCTTGAGTTTTTTTTCACTGTATATGTATATAATTACATTAATATACGCACAATATACACTTGCTTGTGTGTAATCCATAATAATAGATAAGAATATGAGCTATAATGATAGTTCGACGATTAAAATTAGCATTAACAACGCCTCCACTAAAAGTAAATACAGTATAATCCGCTCAAGGGACCGTCCTTATACCGGGAAGAGGCTGTAACTGTATACGTTTGCTCATATAAGTTTGTCTGAGGACCTGAATTTCGCTAAAATTGGAGTCGTTATAACCGGATTCTACTATATATCTTTCAGAACGATCGTCTTATGATAGGACAATATGTCACTACTTTTGGTGACGTTATAAGCCACGTCAATATATCAGCTGTTAAATCAGAGGATGGAGGAGAATACGAGTGTAAGGCGACTTCTAGAGCTGGTGCTGTTACGCATTCTGCAAGATTAAATATATATGGTACGTATGTATATATTCAAAAAACAAGTAAGAAAGCTCTAGTCGAGACTGTTCGACTACGAGATCTATTGAACTCTTTGACTGCTATTTCAATAATTATTCGCTTATTTTCTGCTTACACAAAAACGCATTTAATAACTTGTTTTTTAAATGTACTATCTTCATGAATCTTTTCTATCAGTCTATTTGAAATGCGCTTTTTACAAATTTATGGGTGAGGGGTGGATATAGAGGTGGGGAGTGAATGATAAGAAAAACTAAAATTATATAAAATAAATATAAATCTTCATTTAGCATTTGGCGACATTAGATCTAAAGGTGTAGTGGATATAATTTTATAACAAAATA